TCACCTGATCTCGTTTCTTCGATAACTTGTCTCGATGGAGTAAGCGATCACATGTTACTACATTTCACCGCGCAAGGTCACCGCCCCTCGAGATCTAAGGTTTTCAAAATTATCAGGGATTATTCGCGTGCCAACACAGCACTAATTACAGCAGAAATGGAACGTTTTACCGAGGAATTCATAACTAACTATGAAGAACGATCTGTCAATGATAACTGGTTGCTTTTCAAAAACAAATTATTATCTTTGCTCAACGAACATGTACCCACCAGAAGGATTTGCACTAATCCTCGATCTCCTTGGTTTAGTTCCACTTTACGCCTGACTCCGCAACAAAAAGAAGCATCTGTTCCGAAGCGCTAAACGTTCTAACCTCCCCAGCCGTTGGTCTGAGTACTATAGCATAAACAAGGAATATAACGACGCTGTTAGCAATGCAAAAACATTTTTTTATTCCACACTGCCTGCTCTTCTTCAATCTAATCCCCGCAAATTTTGGAGCATAATGAAAGGTTAATCTCGATCTAATATTCAATTAACATGTTCTGACCTGGTTGTACCACCTGACCAATGCTGCACAGTTCTAAATAATGCTTTCTCTTCAGTGTTTCAAACAACAGCCCCTTCATTATATCCCCATGTACCCCATGCCGATTTTCCGCCCATGGAACCTATTTTTGTTGACTGGGTAGGCTTAACTAGGCTAATTCAGGGTTTAAAAATGTCTTCTTCTGCAGGCCCCGATGAAATTTGCTCTAAAATGTTGAAATTAACAGAAGTGTATTCATCCATTGTCCTTGCAAAGCTTTTTCATCAGTCATTACAGTGTTCATCGCTACCTGCTGATTGGAATTCCGGAAAGGTGGTTCCCGTCTATAAGTCAGCTAACCCGCATCTTCCAGAAAACTATCGACCAATATCTCTCACAAGCATTTCCTGTAAGCTACTCGAACACATTATTTTCTCTCATTTAATGGACTTCCTTGAAACAAATTCCTTTTTTCATCCTTTCCAACACGGCTTCAGGAGAACATTTTCATGCGAAACCCAACTAGTATCTTTCACTAACGATCTCTTTGCCAATTCTGACGAAGGTTACGACACTCATTGCATTTTTCTTGATTTTCATAAGGCGTTTGATACCGTTTCTCATGAACTTCTCCTCGTTAAAATAAATCAATTGAACCTTGATCCTAATGTGCTTGGCTGGATTAAGTCCTTTCTCTCTAACAGGTCGCAATATTTCACTGCTAACAACCATTCTTCCGATACCACTGCCGTAACATCAGGGGTGCCGCAGGGCTCTGTGTTAGGTCCATTGTTATTTTTGATTTATATAAACGACCTTCCTAACTGTGTTGAGTTTTCAACCAATAAATTATTTGCTGATGATTGTGTGCTGTATCATAAAATCACTAACCCAACTGATTCTATCACACTTCAGAATGACCTAGATAACGTATCTCTTTGGTGTCGTGACTGGCGGATGAAACTTAATTCAACCAAATGTAAAAGCATGCGTGTATCTCAAAAAACTTCAGCTTCTAACACTTGCATGTATCTTCTTAATGATGCTCCCTTATCCTCAGTGCACTCGTATAAATATCTTGGGCTTAACATTACTAACAATCTATCCTGGCAGAAACACGTCGAATACGTCACTAATAATGCTAACCTCATGCTCAGATATTTGCGACGAAACTTTTCTTCTGTACCCATGTTAGTGAAACTAAACCTTTACAAAACGTTAGTACGCTCTAAACTGGAATACGCATGCGCCATCTGGGATCCCGGTTAAGTTACCCTAACTCTCACTCTAGGAGCCGTTCAAAACCACGCAGCCCGTTTCATTTTGTGCAATTATTCCCGTCATGCCAGCATCACAGCCATGAAAAAAACTCTGAACCTAACCGACTTATCGTTCCGTCGAAAATGCTCTCGCCTTTCTCTTTTTTATAAAATTTATCATTACAATCCATCTTTAAAAGAGAGCCTTCTCTCTTCCCCCTCTTACATTTCACCTCGTTTCGATTATTGCTTTAAAGTAGGTGTGCCATTTTGCCGAACAACCCACTACAGTGATTCCTTCATTCCCAGAACAAGCAAAGACTGGAACTGCCTTTCCACTGCCACCGCATCCCTCATCGACCCTGCAAACTTCAAACTCTCCATTTTGCAGCAATTGTAACATTTCGCTTACTTTTTGTTGTATAACCCCCACTCCTTTCTGTAAAGCCTTCGCGCATGGAAAGTATTCAAATAAATAAATACTTTGCCTTCCTATATAGCCATATCACTTGAGGCAATACTTCTTAGGGAAATGCATATAACACTGATCTTTTGTCCATTTAGCACATCCATAATGACGTCATTCGCATTATCACCAAAAGTTTCCTTTATTCTAATCCTACCCCACCCCTTCAGGATAACTTCATTCTTACTGTGTCTAGCTTGTTTAATTTTCACCTAGTCGAAAAAACAACTTAAACAGCTGGTGTGTTAATTAATTTACCCTGCATTACTCTTCAACTCTGATAGCACAAGGTTTGCCCTTAACCACAACTTCCTTTTGCCCAAATGTAACACTAGCTATGGCAAAATGACATCCTTTTTCATGGCAACCTAATTGTAAAATAACTTGCCCTAGGCCCTCAAATCATCATTTCTTACATTCTAACATAAACTAAAAATTCCATATTGTATAACGAGGCTGTTAACACTAATCCTTTCTGATGTAAAAATGTGTCCGTAACTCGAAAATGTTTGTAATTTAGATTTATATTGTATCAGTAACCCCTCCTTCATTTCCAGTGCAAACATGCAATTCTCACCGGGAGCCATCAATGCATCTAGATCAGGGAGTTAATGATGATGCAATGCCACCTGCGTCTCGTCCGAGCGCTTCTTCATGAAGATGCTATAGACGCACTTTCCCTTTTCAATATCATGCATCTGTCAGATTTATTTATTTATTTATTTTATTTTCCTCAAGAGTCCCTAACAGAAGGGACATTACATGAAGGGTGGGCATGCAAGACATGGGTAAAGGCAAAGTTGGATGTGCAACAAAACAAAAAACAAATTTTAGGACATAGCTGAAGTGGCAGAAACAAACAAAACAAAAAAGAGAAGGGGGGGGGGGTAACAGTAACAGTGGTATCTTTTGTAGTGACAAAAGATACCACTTATAAGGTACAAAACATTGCCAAGTATACAAAATATACATACACGGCATACTAGGAAGATCACACTAGAAACCATTACACAAGAATTAGCATGGTAAGTCAGACGCAAAAAAAAATTTATAACAATTCAGTGATGGTTGACAGGGAATTTTTAAAGCCTTCTTCATCCTGAAGGCTAACAATGGTGTCCGGTAGGGCGTTAGAAACCATTACACAAGAATTAGCATGGTAAGTCACATGGAAAAAAAATTATTACGGTTCAGTGATGGTTGACAGGGAATTTTTAAAGGCTTCTTCATTTTGAAGGCTAACAATGTTATCCGTGCTAAATGTTATCAAGTGCTCAATGCAACGCTGTTGCAAGTGAGCACTTGCAACAGCGTCGCAGTGACACTTCCCCATTGGTTCCCCGAGTAGCACCTACAACAGCAACACACTATCTCAAAACACGGTATCTCTCACAGAGCCAGAGGGACTGCCAACACTGTAAGTACGCCGCCCCACGGATCTGTACACAACTGCACAAAAATTTACTTCTTATGATTTTCATTGTGAGGCACCACATGATAGGTTTTCCACCCCATTACTGCAAAGCACACGTGAAGGCTAGGCAATGGGTGAGAGCAGGAAAGGGCTAGATTAGAGGGCGGTGAACGGCTTGATTGGGTGCATCTGGCTTGCATTGAAAAATTAGAGAAGGCGCTGCTAAGACTTACATATTTACATCTATAATATTTTTTATACACTCATCAAATATTGAAGGTGTTTTTATCTTGTTTTCTAGTACATTCACTATTCAATTCTGTTTGCATTATGTAATTTTGTCATGCTGTATAATTTATTTTTATGTTATTTTTAGCCTAGGGTTCTGCTGTAGTCACTCGTCTTTGGGAACCTCGTCTGCATACTACTAACCATGAACTTTTATATTTTCAATTAATAATAATAAACTGAACGTTATTTCTCCACCTCGACTTCAATTTTGTTTGCAAAAACGACAGTGGCCTTACTGTCAGAGCATTTTTAATAAAACATCTGTATTGTCTAAAAAAAAGAAACTCTCTGCACCTGTGTTGTAGAGAATTCACACCCCATCAGTTATGGTGTTGTACCCTGCCAGATTCATCATGGTGATGGACGACAGCTTTTACCAATACCGAGGCAGTGTTTGGTACTGCTGTAATTGTGCGCACATGCATTGGTGTTCCTGTTGAGCTCACCGCATACAGGATGTGCGCATTGGTCTGCACGATGAGAACAACTGGCATCGATTCTAGTGCTGTTCATCCAACCTTCATTTTCTGTACAGTCATGCATTTTAAAATACAGTCTTGGGAACATGCTTTAAGACTAGAGTTCTGTGTTATTGCTGTCAGCACTTCACATTTGAGCAAAAATGCTGTGTTTTTTTTATGTTTAGGTGTCAGTTTTGCAATTTGTTTCATATTTACCTAACAAGTAGCATAGTTGTTAATGTTAATAGCGCAAAGTGTACAGAAAGAGTCATTTCAAATGGCTTCAGCTAAGGATTTGCTTTTGTTGGCCTTTTATTACTGGCTGAATGTGTGCTCCGTTGAGACACTGTGCTCTGTAGTCTCTGCCCTTTGATACAAGGCGCCTAACCAGCGACACTTTTAATGCATGCTATGGAGCACCGAGTTCCACCAGTGGGCCAGGCCTAGTCATTCACTATCAGTTCCAGGCCAGGTTGAAGTCGCAGACACAAGCTTTGGCGGTGCTTGAGCTAGCAGGCTGTTTTGTGTGCAGAGTGTCTTCCTTGGTGCGACAGATCAAAGTGTAAACTGAAACATGCAGGAGCTGGCTGTCACAATGAGCCGCAAGCGAGAGGGGGCACAGATGCCAGACAAGGCAGCAGTCAATCTGGATGACCTCGAGTTGGGCACTGTGCTAGGCAAAGGTGCCAATGCGATCGTGTACAGTGGCCGCTGGAGAGTGCCTGTCAGTACCCAAAAACGTCCTGTGGCAACCGATGACAATAAGACTGCCAGTTTTCCATTGTCCACAGCTGCTGCCAAAGACTTGGGTAAGGAAGAAATTGAAATTCTCTGTGGAGTAAGGCACGTTGTTAGGTTAGTCAGCTCGTAAGTTCAGTCAGTGTTTTTAACCGCAAGGACACAAATAATGGGAATCTAGACGTGCACTAATGATACAGTAGACTTTTTTAAACGTATTGTGAAGTGACCAGGAAAATGTGTTTCCTTTAAGAGGAGTTTTGTTTACTGAGAGATAAATAGGGGTACAATGTCCAAGTAGGAAACCAAACATATTAGTGGCAGTTGTTTCATTTAAGCCAGAATTTTCATTAAAGAGACTTTCATTTAAAAGGAATCTATTGTAGTAGGAAGTGGAACTCTGCACGTGCCACCCTCTGTGTTCCTGCTTATATGACATTTTCTCTGCACATTTAGAAATATTCTTTGTAGTGTTATGACATGAGCCCAATGCACCATAGAATTTTGCTGGTCTTTGTTGCAATGAACAGACTCTGTGTGCATGAAAGACACTTCCCCCATTTTGTGCCACAAGAGAACAAATTATGAACATCTGTTGTCTGTGCAAGAGGTATGGCATAAATCGAACAGAAGTGCCGTATGCACCACTGCCACTTTACCAAATTGTATCTTTAAGGCCGTCTGAAGTAAAAGGGATCGGCTTTGCTGGACCCCTTCATATAAATCAGAGGACTCTCGCGGATACAGCCTGCAAAGGATACATTTTGCTGTGTAGGTGTGATACCACTCGAGCAGTCCATCTGGAATTGACGAATGGGCTTTCAACTAAAACTTTGCTTTTGGCGTTTCAACAATTCCTTGCTTGAAGGGGAGTGCCACTGATGCTATACTCAGACAATGCATTGACCTTCAAAAAGGCTTCATGAAACCTGAAAGAAGTATGAAAGGTCACGAAAAGCTCTTTTTTTGCATTCTTCCTTGCTATGCACCACATACAGTGGCAGTTCATTGTGCCAGGAGCGCCTTGGTGGAGAGGATAGGGATAGAGGCTAGTTAGGTCAATCAAGTGTAACTATGTAAAGTGCTTGGAAAGAGTTATCTCAACTTTAAAGAGACCGAGATGGTGCTACTTGAAGTGGAAGCAGTAATCAATTCACGACCTTTGACATGCTATTTTACTGACGTAGCAAAACCTACACTAATGTGCTTCGCCCATTTTCTGGTAGGGTGTCCATTGATTGCTTCTTCAGGGCCATATAGCTCCGAGTATGAAGCTAGACGCGCCCAAGCAACGAGTGACCTTACAAAGAAGTTGAAGTATCGGGAAAAACTACTTAATAACCTGTGGATACGGGGATACGGTGATGGAGAAAAGAGTACCTGCTTGAGCTGTGAGCCCTTCATCTGTATCCATCGCATATTAGCAAGGACATGAAAGTGGATGACATCATTCTTGTCGATCGACCATCTGTTTCAAGGTGCATCTGGCCTCTTGGCCGTGCGGGAGAAGCTATTCTCATTCAACACGGTGTAGTACGGGCCTGTGGAATGAAGACACATCAAGGCAACATTGTGCAGTGACCAGTACAGAAGCTCTATAAGCTATAGATAGCCTGCAATCCTTAGGGGCGGGAGGATGGAGAAAAAGAATATACATGCGCAGCCTAGGTATGTGAGAGAAGAGAAGGAAGCTGAGGATGTGAAGGGCAAGATGGCTCCCTGCCTGACTTCTCGCTTTATCGCATAGTTCTTTTGCGACAACTTTAAAAACTTGTCCTACAACGAATAACACTTATAGGTTAGTTCGGGCATGCTTAATACTTGGAACAGTAGTGCAAGCATAAGATCAGTTCATCATGCACGCTACTAACGAAACTGTTTCCAGAAGAATAGTCTACTATATGCTGAGGCATAGAACTCATATCCTGGTCTCTCGAAATGGCCCAGTTGTTATTGTTAAACAGAATAACAAGTGCCACAGAACAATGGCCGCGTCTTCCACCTTCCTTCCAGTCCTGCAAACAGTTCGTCGCGGCATTCCGGGAAGAGTTCCTGCCGGTCGCCTACGACTACCGTATCTGGCGTGAGCTCGACGCCGGAACGCAAAATCCAGATGAGGGTCTGCACAATTATGATCGGGCCGTGGAGGAGCTCTTTTGTCGGGCAGACCCCACTGCTCCTGAAGCCGTTAAGGTCTCGCATATTATTCGGCGATGCCACCTCCGTTTCCAGCTTCACCTGTTAGGCCACTCCTTTCCTTCCCTTGAGGAGCTTGCACACTTTGCTCCGCATATTGCCGAGCCGTCTACTCCGACCGTGCCCGTCGCCGAGGAGGGAGGTGAGCTCCATGGAGGCAAGGCAGAGGCCCATTCGTGTTGACAGTGTTCATGGGATGTAGCTGACGTTGGAGCTGGTGCTGACACGTGGTGGGACATTGACGCAACGCGAGACAGCCCTGCGGAGCGAGCGAGGGCAGTGATCATGAATGCGGTCACGAAGGCCCGGGATAACGAAGCAGCAGACGTGAAGAAAAGGAAGACGAATAAGAGGAATAAACCGAGAGTAACAGAATGCAGGGACACGGGAATAACACCAAATGAGTCAGAGCTTTGTGCGGAGGTGGTTCATGCTCGTGATCTTGAAAAGGACAAGGGTTCCCTTGAAGCTGAAGTGGATCGTCAGAAGCAGGGCACACTGTGGCATACAACCCGCATCAGCCAGTTGGAATGCGAGTTGGGAAGCTTGGCTGATGCATGTGATGGTCTCCAGCACAAACATGGCGTCTACAAGTCCAAGGCAACCACCACGATTGAGGAACCACCACCACATTTCTGAACTGGAGGACAAGGTTTGTACACTGAAGACAAGGTTGGCTGAGGACTCACAGGAGCACAGTCGTATGATCAGGTTGCTTGAGGATTCCCAAAAGTGTCTCAAAGATCAGCAGGAGTAGTGCGCCTGGTTCAAGAGGCAGTTGCTGGAGAGGAACACTGAACTGTCAAACATACAGTGCGAACATGAAGAAGAGCACATACTTTATGACTCACAGGTAGATGAGCAACTAATGCAGGCATCTGATCTCCGTGCGCAGCTCGCCCACGGCCGAGAGGCAAGTCAAATGCAAGCACTAACAGTGAAACTGAGCAAGAAGGTAGTCGAGTGCAGTGAAAACCAGAAGTGCATCCAAGGGATCGAGGCCAACCAGGGGACTTAGTTGGCAAAGGTCTCTGAACTAGAAAACCAGCTCAGTATTCTGTCGCACACTCTCGAGAAGAAGGAGATTGAACAAAACATCATGAATGAAGATGTTTCAGAGCTCAAACAGGTGCTAGTCTTGGCCGAGATGGAACTCATGGAGGAGGAACTCGTGGAGGAGCTTGAGGCAAGGCAGCAGCAGGCGGACCAATATTAATCCCGACTGGAAATAGTAGTGACACAGCTGCAAGAATCCATGGAGAGAGTGACAGAAAATGTGGAACAGCTTGAGGAAGTTGCAGCTAAACTGAACAACCACACCAGCATGTCTGACCTGGCGTGCAAGGTGGCTGGCTGTCCTCAACCACCAAAGCTACGTCGAGAGAGAATATGAAAGGCGATTCGATGCTGGAGGAGTATGCAGTCAGTTTCTACAAATAGGTCACACCTGTCTGGATGCCGGGCCTGCCAGCGTTCGAATGCTACCACGTGGAGGAGGGGCCACCACTGATACATGAACAGTGCAGACAGCTACGACAACGACCATGACATACGGCAATAACTATGGCTTACAACTCGCCGAGACCTGTGCTGCACTGGGAGCATCGGCGTTCTGTCATGCTCTAGCCGACGGTTGTCAACCTGAGCGGGTCTGCTGCACCCCCGTCTTTTGCCGGCGGGGGAGTTGGCCTCCCTGTGCTAATTGACTGCGCCGGTACTTCATCTTGTGCGCCATGTGCGGTCCGCCAAGGCCAGGGATAGCCTCTACATCTATGTGGCATCTCCTGTCTACTTTTTACGAGGGGAGAGGGCAGTATGGAAGCGGCGGCCGCGAGTGTGCTGACATGATACAGAAGAGGACAAGGACGATTGCAGGTGTGCTGGTGGCACGCAGCACCTGCTGGAAGCGGGAAGTTGCTGCCGGGGCTTAGCGGAATAAATCCGGTTCCTGGCCTGGCTCCGCGTCTTCTCTGCGGGGGTTTTGGGCCGAGTTGCCTTGAACTCCTCGAGAAGATGTACTATATTTCTTTATCAAAGGGACCCCAGCCATCTCTCGTACCCTAGCTTTTCCAGTCACGGACTAAACGATATGAATCGTCCGGTTTTGCAGCAGCTGTGTGTAAATCTCTCCGTTGCCCTCATGAGTGTTTGCAAACCTCCACACACGCAATCGCAATACTCTTGCTCCCTTGCCGAGGTGGTGCTTACGTTCGTGTGAACAACTTGTTTATGCGAGTTGTGTCAACTTGTGGCCAAAAGAGAGAGCGATGCAGTGGTTGCATTGAACCTTCCGCATGGTCAGTTCGTGCTGCAGCCAGTCACCTTAGTGATGGTCGTGCCCCTTTAGAGGGCCAGCGTTAAAAGCATTCAATTTCTTTTTTTTTTAAATAAGTACAACCAAGAAATAATTAAACATAGCCAGTGATTTTATTCTTTATACGTCAAAATGCAACATGACTGACTGCAGCATAGAAATAAATATTCAGCTACAAGATGATTTTCATTAATTATCAAAGGTCATGCCAAGCACCACATTATTTCATTAAAATTTTTTTATGTAATATTCAGTGCCTTGGAATTATGATGTGTGAACATAAGACATTCATAGGTAGCACGCTGTTGTTCATGCGTGAAGGGGATATAGAACTGCCGCCGTATCTATCCATACGCAGTGACTTGTGCTGGGCCCTTTGCTTTGTGTCCTTCCCATCATCGATGTGTACTGTATGGTATAGGCTGTCAATTGATGGTTTATTTGTCAATTGCAACATACATATGGTGGGAGAAGGAAAAGAAAAGTTAGATGTTAAAAAAAGAAATTTGTTCACCCAATGCACGAGGCAGGAGAGATTACCCCTTCACTGGTCATGTGCAC